TCAGTGACTCAGTCCAAAGGCCAAGAGTTCTTCTTTTCCCCAACAAGGCCAAGTACAAGAATCTCTTTTTATAAGAAAATGAGAAAGAAGCCAGGCTTGGTGGTGCACACCTGTAACCCCAGCACTCTAGGAGGCTGAGGCAGAATGGCATGTTTGAGTTCCACCTGGGTAACGAAGCCAGACAGTGCCTGAAAACGTAAAAGGGCCTGGAGGTGCAGCTCAGTGTGAAGACCTTGGGTTCAATCCTCAGTACCTCAAAAGGAGGCGGGGCAGATGAACAGGGGAAACAGGAGCGGAAGAGTAGGAGAAAGAAAAGAGGAAGGGGGAGGGGAAGAGGAGGGGTAAAAGAAAAGAATATGACAGCAGGGAGGGACCAGTGGGCAGAGAAGCTACCCAAACCCCAGCTCAGCGCCGTTCTTCCCCACTGACTCCTGGCAGCGAGGTTCCCCCCTGCCACCCCCACCCGGAGTTCCTGGGGTCTTCCCTTCCGGCCTCCTGACCCCCACAGGCCGTCAGCAACAGCCCCCTGGCCTGCTGTCCCCTCCCCCGCACCACGCCCCCTGTGCCTGGCTGTCTGCCAGGGCCCCCCTCGTATCTCCCACATCAGTGGGAGGGGTCCCCCCAGCTCCCAGTCACAGTAGACACAGTGGTTGGGGGTGGCAGGAGGGAGCTGAGCTGAGTGATGGGAAGGGGGTGTCAGGGACAGGCTCAAAGCCTCAGTCTGGCCCCAGGGACAAATCCTGGCGGGACCCTCACAGCTCAGCAGTGTGGCAACACCAGGCTGTAGACCGGGCACATGAAGATGCCTGGAAATCCTCATCCACGCCATTAACTCAGCTGCAAGGTGCAGGCGCCCAACTGGGGACTGACGAGGTTAAGCATCAGCTCTGGGAAACGGCCTGCCTGGCCCCAAGCCACGCCCTCCGAACCCAATGGAAAGGGAAGCTCTCGGCTGAGACGCTGTCACAGAAGGGCACAAGCCAGTTGTGTGGGGCAGGCGACTCCAGGCAGGTCGGCAGCTTGTGGGACAGTCGTGCACTGGGTGTGTGGCAGGTACATCTGCACAGCAGAGAGTGCACAGGTGAACGGGTAAGCGACGATCCAGAGTATGTGCCAGGCACACCGACACCCCTGCTGAGCAAGTCCCTCTGACGAGCCAGGTCTTCGCAGCCGATGTGCTCCAGCTCAGACAGGCCCAGAGGGAAGTGACAAGGCCTCCCTTGCAGGATAACCCTCCTTGGAGAACCAGAAAGGGGCCACGTGTGATGCACAACCCCAGGCTTCAGAGGGCAGCCTGGGAGTGGTCCCAGGCAGGGAAGACGACGGGAGGAGGAGCTGCCCACCTGCTCCCACTGCACTGCCAGGTTCTCCAGCACCCGGACATCCTCTGGGTCTGTCTCCAGGAACCTGCCCTTCCCATCCTTGAGCCCCGACCCAGGACTTCTCTGAGTGGTCCTCACATCTCCCACAGCATGTGCACACACAGTAGATGCCAGCCAGGTTCCTCCACGCCCTCTGAGGAGCCCGCACACCTCAGGCCCACATGCCGTGGAGGCAGGTCCTCCCAAGCTGCGCTGGGTCCAGGTCACCCATGCCATCTCAGTGTTCCGCACCCCGCCCCACTGGTGTGTACTCAGCTCCCAACCCACGTCTCCCAGAACCCTCTAAAGCCCCTCTTCCCCAATGGGTACCATAAGCCCCTGCTTGCCTCCTGGCTGGCTGGTAGCTGTCGCTTAAGAGACGTGGCCCAGTTGCTGATCAGGGAAAGCAACTTATCATCGGCTCCCAGGAAGCCAGAGCAGGAGACCAACCTGCAGGCGAGGCTGGGTGAGCACAGCCCCGCACATTCCCCACTCAGCCTGCCTGCCGATGGGGCAGGTGACCCCTGCTCAGTCCCTCGGGGGCCCACACTGCTCTCAGCCTCTACTGTGGTAATTTTGGTGCCCAGCTCCTCCCAGGTCCCATGAACCATTTCCCAACTGCCCGGCCCCTCCGCAGTAAGCCCACGTGAGGAACAGCTCACTTACCATTGGGAGAGGGGCAGGAAGCACTGACCAGGGGCGATCAGGTCAGCACTCCGCTCAGCCACCCTGGGACTGTGAGCACACCCATGCCAAGACCCAGCATGCTCCAAGAACTCCCCTGGTGGCACGCGCTCGTTCGCTCTCTCTCTCTCACACACACACACCTCCAGTCACTCACAGGAGGAGCCTTTCCCTTTGTGGGCCAGGCAGCCGTGCAGGTGGAGAACCCATCCAGGTCTTCCCAACACCCAGCTCTGCAGCACCGGCTTTCAGAAGTGGACAAAGCTCCCAGACTCTGCCGGCCTCGCTCCAGGAGCTTTTTTTTTTTTTTTTTTTTTGGTTTTTCTCCGGTACCGGGAATCGAACTCACGATCGAACTCACGGCCTTGTGCTTGCCAGGCAGGCACTGTGCCGCTGAGCTAAATCCCCAGCCCCTCTCCAGGAGCTTTTCTCCTGCCTCCTCACTGACCGTCCCTCAGGAGCTCTCCCCGCAACATGCTCTCGAATACCCAGTTTTTTTTTTTTTCAGTGCTGAGATCAAACGCTGGGCCACACACTTGCCAGGCGCGTGTTCTGTGCGAGCCGCACACCCAGCGCTCTGCTCCTCCTACACGGGGCGCTCGCACTCTCCCCGTCCCCCCGGCCCTCCCTTCAAACCTCACCCTTCCTCCTCCTTCTCCTCTCCTAACATCTTCCTCGGCGTCTCACGTTCCAGGCTGTGCCTACACCCGGGTGCTGCCCTGAGGCCGCACGCACATGCACACTTGTGAGCTTCGTGTGTCACACATGCACGTCCGGTGTGCACCATGTGTGCGGCGTACGTGTAACTCCTGGGCTTAGGCCTTGGCGTCCCATCCACGGCACCTTCATCAGACAGCTCAGACTGAACTCGGACCTGACAACCGAGAGGGCAGACCCTAATGGCCACGGCAGGGTCAAGCCCCGGATGTAGCACCAACCATATGCCAGGAACTAAGCAACAGAGACAAAACCTGGCCCAGATACCTCACTACGGAGTGGGAAGGACGTCAGGAGAAGTGTTACTGAGACACGTGAGAGGGTAACACCCACCACAGGCACAGCTGGAGGGGACACGAGGCCCCATCAGGAGGGCATGTCCAGGGTCTGGCAGGGCTCAAGGGCCCTGGTCATCTTCCTGGCTTGGAGTTGGGCTCTCACCGTTTCCTCAGTCCCAACCCCACCAGGTCAGCGTAACTCCTAACCCCGGACAGGACGATGTTGCTTCTGGGAAATGGGCTTGGCAAGTAGGAAACACAAGTTCTGGGTGTTTGGTAAAGTGTAATAATTGGGAGCTCGCCTCTGAGAGCTGAAGGATTAGCCAAAGGGTGAGAGCGCCAAGCAGGGAGTGGTCCCAGGGAGAGGGAACTGCCCGTGCAAAGGCTCTGTGGCAGGACAGTCACCAGGCCTGGCGGAAGGCAACACAGGGTCTAGGAGCTTGGGGAAAAAGGGCACAGTATGGCCTGGAACGAGGCCACTACCATACGGTTCATGCCATTCATTCATGACCTCTGAGGAAGTACGGGGGCTCCAGGGTGTGATGACTCAGTCCAGCTGGCTGAGAGGAGGCTGGCAAACACGAGGAACAAGTGTGGAGGGGCGGGATGACACCCATGGCTGGATCAACAGGGACTACCGCCACAGCAGACAGAGGAAGAGGAAAAGCAGGATGAAATTTGCAGTAAGAAAAAAACGACTAGCTAGACATGGTGGCACGCGCCTGTAATCCCAGCACTCAGGAGGCTGAGGCAGGAGGACCACTGCCAGTTTGAGGCCAGCCTGGGCTACATAGTGCGTTCAAGGCCAGCATGAACCATGTATAGAGACCCTGCCTCAAAAAAACAAAATAAGGCGGGGTAGGAGGAAGAAGAGAAAGAGAGGGGGCAAGGGAGGGAAGGAAGAAGAGGAGGAAAAACTACAAAGCGGGAATGACACCGGAAGCAAAAAAGGGGCAACCAGAAGGCTGCAAGCTTTGCAATTAATTGCTAAGAAGGCAAAGCAGCACAGCTCAAAAAGAGCCTCTCACTCCTGAAATGTATTCTCCTGGCCCCACTGGGAGCACTTCCTCCAAGAACCCACGGTGATCTTGAACTCTCTTCTCTAGAGACTTCCCCCATCTCAGTGCATATCACTGTTAAGCACCTCGGTACTTAAGTCATCGCTGAACTCCCCCTGTACTTGCGGCCTCAGTCCACCAGGGGGCCTCCCACCTCCAGGTTCAGCTCCACAGGACCAACGGGCTATCATTTCCAGCCCATCTCCTTGGGTATGACCAGCCTCCTCCGGTTCCCAGCGCCTCACTCCCACAAGAATGAATCCACAAGCAAAGAGATGCCCATTCAACTAGTAAGAGACGGCAAGAATAGCAGCCAGGAAGAGGTGGCTCACAGGAACAGATTTCACTTAAAACAGTCCATGAAAACCAGCTACAGTTTATCGTGACTAGGGCCACCCCCAAGTACAATTCTAACGCAGCCTATCGGTGCAGTCTGTCCCCTCAACGCTCAAAGACCTTTTTTCCTAGCACTGAGGGCTGAACCCTGGGCCTTTACACTAAACTACATCCCTGGCGGGTTGTTTGTTTGTTTTTGTTTTAATTCTTGAAACAGGGTCTCACTGTCACTAAAATGCCTGAGTTGGGTCAAACTCCATATCCTCCTGCCCCAGCCTCCCAAAATTCTGGGATTCCAGGCATACGACACCACACTCAACCCTCCAAAGAAAAACTGTAGGTTACTACATTCCCTGTAACCGTAGCCCATGAGGCCACTGCTCCCAAGACACTGACACACAAAATCTCACACTATTCTGAACTCTAAAGGCAGACACATAGATTTTTAAACGAATTTATACAAAAATAAACTACAACGTCCTTACCACTTGAAACCCAACCACGTGATACACAAATCAGACGTTTGTGACTGGTGCAATGCTAAGAAATAAAACCCTGGTCCAAGCTCTTAGAAGAAAACTATATTCTTTTAAAGAAAATGAAAATATCCTCAAAGGAAAAACTTAATTTAAGTCAAATCATCTCTTTTGTCGTGGAGCCTGATACACAGAGCGCACACGCGCACAGGGGCTTTCCCAGCAAGGCGGGCAGGGCGCCCCCTGGCTGTCCCTCTTCAGCGACACCTGCGGCTGGAACTCGCCAGGCGATCTTTTCCCGGGGCTGAGGATGGCAGGGAGGAAGGGCGATCCCCAAGCCAGGAGCCAGGGGACAGGAAAGTGTGGCTGGAAACACCCTTCAAAGCCCGCACGGCCAAACCCCGCAGTGCTCCCCGAGGGTGTCGTTCCTCCCCCCCGCTGCGGCCCCACGCAAACAAGGCGCCCTCCCCACCCACCAGCGGGCCAGGGCTCCGTCCCGAAGCGCACACCCGCGCGCCCTCTGCCATCCCGCCCTCCAGCCACACCCTGCGCGGGGAGCGCGCTCGGAGGGTCTCGGAACCGAAAGCCAGTGATGGGGCAGGTGGGGGGCAGTAAGGCCGGGGCGGGGGTGACTTGAGGAGGCACAGACGGTGAATAAATAGAAGTAGCTTCAACGCGGGGGTCCGGCCCCTGCGGACAGGACAGGACAGCAGCTCGGTGGGAAGTGTGCGATGGGGGCGGGGTGGAATTTACGAGACCCTGCACACCCTGACACCGACCAGGGCCTCCCACCCGGCCCTCTCCCGCAACACCCGCTCCCACCCGACCCTGCTCAGAGCTCAGTGACGCGCAAAGCGGGCGAGGGAAGCGGGCCCGGCCCGAGGCGCCGCAGGTGGCACCGGCGGCACAGCAGGTGGCCCTCGAGGGGGTAGCAGCGGCGTCCGTCCTCCCCGCTCAGCTGCAGCCCGCAGTCCTAGGGAAGAACACAGAAGCGGCAGTGAGCAAGAGGGCGGGGCGTCCCCGGACACCCGGATGTCAGAGGCGGGGACTGCGCTGTGACGACTGTGGCCGGCAGCCTGCGTGCACAGCGCTTCGCACACCCACTGGGGGAGCCTGTTGGTCACCCAAGACGGAATAGCTGGATATAAGCTTGGCATCTGGAGCCGGGTGTGATGGTGCACGCCTGCAGTCCCAGCACTAGGGAGGCTCAGGCAGGAGGATCCTTTGGAGTTAGAGACCAGCCCAGGCTACAGTGTGAGCTCAAGGCCAGCCTGAACTGCAGAGCGAGACCCCGTCTCCAAGAAAAAAAAAAAAAAAATTAGGAAACAAGCTTGGCATCTGGGAGCAAGGGCTGGGCGGTAAATGTGGGCATCAGCACGACAGTGAGCATTTGTGTGTGTGTGATACTGGGGATTGAGTCCAGGACCTACACACTGTACTACATCCCCAGGCTTTTAATTTTTTTTTTATTTTGAGGCAGGGTCTTGCTAAAATGCCCAAGCTGGGCTCAAACTTGTGATCCTCCTGCTTCAGTCCCCAATAGTACTGGCTTTACAGGTGTGTGCCACCTTTAGGGTTTTTTTTAAAAAAACACAATGGGTTTACTCTCCCAGGGAGCACAGGTAATCAGAACAAAGAAGAGGAAAGAGTTCGCATGGGAGGCTGCAGCACTGAGAGGTGGAGGATATGGGCAGAAGAGATGAAAGAGGCCGGGGATATAGCTCAGCGGCACAAGCGCCTGCCTGCCTGGCAAGCGCAAGGTCCTGAGTTTGATTCCCGGTACCAAAAAAAAAGGAAGAGATGGAAGAAAAATACGCAAAACCAAATACAAGCAGTCACCACAGCAGAGTGAGGACGGCCGGGAGGACAGAGGAGTCAGCACGTGGGAAGCTGTTGCCTGCAAAAAGTCCTCCTGTGACTACCTACATCATGGGGAACAGAGTGCCTAGCCCAAGAGGCCTGAAGAGAATGCTTGCCTAGAACACAGGAGGTCCTGGGTGACAGGGAGGGAGGAGAGTAGAGATAGAAAACGGAGAAACACCAAACAAGGGGTTTGGGGTTGGGCTCTATGCCTTCCATGGTAGCCAGGACTCAATGCCTGGAAGCTCTGACGCTTGTGACCTAAAGCCCCTAAGGCTGGCTCCTGCCTCCGCTCACAGGTAACGGAGCTGGGCTGCTGTTCCGGAGCCACAACCTCAAGTCTCCGCCCTGTCCAGCCACACACCCCGCCTCCGCTGGCCTGGGCCCTGCTGCTTACTCCTGGCCACCAGAATGAGGAGGAGGGGGCCAGGACGGCCAAGTACTGTTCCACCCTCGGCCTTCTGGCAACAGCAGCCTCCTCATGCCCCTCAGAGCCCGCCAGAGAGCAGCTCGCTCCCTGACTCTCAGCTTCAGCCTTGTGCTCAGTGACCCCAGAGGACACCACAGCCCACGGGACAAACAGCGGGGATGCTGTCTAAGCACTGTTTGAGAGCTGTACTCTCTATAAGCTCATCACTCCAGGTACTCACTCACACAGGGTCCGAAGCTGACTAACACTCTCACTCTCCACTGGGGTCCTGTTCAATACTTCCCAACCCCCAAATTCCTGCATCCAGTCACCTGCCAGACCCAGGCCCTTCTCCCGTGCCATGCCCACGCCACTCACCATTTCCCTGAACCCAAGCCCACAGCCCCTCCAGCCCCCTCAGAAGCCCCTGACTCCCATCCCCGCTCCTGCTTCCTCCAGTTCCACACAGCTCAGTGTCTTAAAATCCAAACACAGGCTGGGTATGGTAGTGCAGGCCTGTAATCCCAGCACTTGGGAGGTTGAGGCAGGAGGATAGTTTTGAGTTCAAGACCAGCTTGGTGGGGCTGGGGATTTAGCTCAGCGGCACAGCACCTGCCTGGTAAGCACAAGGTTGAGAATTCAATTCCCATCATCGGGGAAAATAAAAAAAGACCAGTTTGGGGTACAAAATGAGCTACAAAATGAGCCAGCCTGGACTGCATAGCAAGACCCTATCTCAAAAAGACAAAAAAGAAAAAGAAAAAATCCAAACACAACCTTGCCATGTCTTTTTGTCTCCACTCCCTTCAGGGTAAGTCCATGCTCATTAGCTCACATGGCCTTTTATCGCCAGCTCAGGATAAGCCAACTTACCCAGCTACACAAAACGACATACTCCCTATGCACCTAAGGATGTTCTGCTTCCAGTTCAAGACCAGCTTGCGGGGGCTGGGGATTTAGCTCAGCGGCACAGCACCTGCCTGGCAAGCGCAAGGTCATGAGTTCAATTCCAACTCCGGGGGGGGGGGGGGGACACACAAACAAAAAACACCAGCTTGGAGATGTCCTTATCTCTGCCTTCCTATCTCTTATTCATCCTTCTGATCTTAGCTGGGGCATCACCTCCTCCAGAAAGACTTCCATGATTTTCTGAGCCTCCGGTGTGCTCTCCTCAGTAACAATCCGTTTTTGCAGACACTGCCAAACATACATCTCTCCCAAGACAGTAAGGACTATATTCTGTCCAACCACAGCTGACTACACTGTAAACATCGGATTGAATGGACTGGAGGAGAAATGGCCTGAGTAAGAACATGCCCTGAGGAGAAGAGGGGCTCACTGGGGGAAGAGAGACGGGGCACAGGCCGTGGAAGGGGAGATGGACCCACAGAACACCTAAGCAGGAGACCTGTGTGGGACGGCCCAGCTCACCTCACAGTGATAACACTCCACGTGGTAGTCTCTGTCCATGGACACCACACGGATGGTCATCTCACAGCCCTACGGGAAGAGACGCGGTTCACACACTGGGGCTCCAGGCAGACTGTGCGCCAGAGCGCACATCCGCACGAACTGCTCCTGTCATGGCAGGCATACTCCGCCTGTGTGAACACAGACATGGTGCTTCTCTGGGGCCAATCAGAAGATAGCAGGTGACGCTGACGGATGTGCGTGCACCCTGGCCACTGCCAGGCCTGCTCCCCAGGCAGCAGGCTGGGGCGGACCCAGCCCGTGTAAGAGACCCAGGGCGGCCTTCCTCACCCTCTCCCCCGCCCACCCAGCCTCCACCTGCCCCGCTGGACAACCCGGGGGGCAGCCTTTCAGCCAGGGAGAATGGAGCTGAGGGCAGAGTGGGACGGCCAAGCAGCAGGGCCATGTCTTTCCTGTAACTCATGCCAGGGGCACCTGCACGGGCACAACGCTCGCCCCTCCGCTGAGAGATGTGGCGCGGGGGCACCTGCTCCTCTCTACCACTGAGGCCCAGGATGTGCGGCAGACCAGGCAGGAGCAGGCAGGAGCCGGCAGGGGCAGGTACCTGATCGTCTCCAGGTGAGTGGTTCCTACCTGTGCAGGGAGGATGGGACGGGCACAGGAGGCACATTTGGGTGCAAAAACCCTGAAAGAATAAAGGAAACCAGCTGAGTGAGCAGAGGCCAAGGGCACACGGGGAGATCCAGCCTCGGGAGCCCCATCACATGCGCCAAGCACCAGGCCTTGTTTGGACACCTGGAAGGGGAGCACAGCAGTGCCGTATCATCTGACTCCCCAACTCACCCCCACTGCCTCCTGCAGGATGGCACCAGGTTCTGTCCTGCCACCTCCCCCATGCTTCCTGGCAGTCCCTGCCCTTTAACGTCCAAATTTAGGCAACTACTTTCCAATCTCCCTGAGAGCTGCCTGACACCAATCCCAAGACAAGCAGTAGCACAGGAATCTGGAGCAAGGGGAATGGACCAGCAGCCTACAGGTCAGGGAAAAGGCATCCAACAGGTAAAGGAAGGGGAATGCAGTGACCCCAAGCCCCATGTCCATGGCCTGGCTCTGAGAGCAAAGGGCTAGATGAAGTGCAGGGCAGTCAGGAGAGATCCCACTAGGAAGAGACCCCACTAGCAGGAGGAGGGGGTGCATGAGGGCGAAGACAGGCAGAAGCAGGAGATGGATGAACCACCTGAGAGGGGCCATCCATGCCCTGCCCCCACCTCTGAGTGCCCAAGAGGAGGGCAGAGGGGAAAAGACTAAGCAGAGAGCAGAGAGAGGCAGGACAGAAAGCTCTCCCAGGGCAGTGGGGGAGGCAGTATGGGTCACACCTGCTCCATGGCACTATCAACTCACGTGTGGTAGTCCCGGACGCAGTAGATATTGTTCTCCACGTCCACCGTGAAGGGCACCCCATCCAGGCATTCATTGCACACGGAGCACCGGAAGCAGCCTGGGTGGTAGGACTTACCCAGAGCCTGCAGGATCTGGGGGTGGGAGGCACTGAAGGGTCAGTGGGGGTGGGTCTCAGCAGCGCCCCTTAGAGGGGCTCAGGCTCTGAGCACCCCCTGAGGTCTGCAGCAGGTGAGCGGGGTCCTGAGACTCCTCCGTGTCAGAAGGGGTCAGGGGTGTGGGAAGACTCTCACCATCTCCATGATGAGGTGTCCACACACGCTGCACTTGTCAGCTGTCTGCTGGAACCCGGAATACTGGGAGGGGACACAGGATCCAGGACGTCGTGTGACCAAGGGGCACGCCCTGCCCAGCCAGCTCCTGCCTCCTGGCCTCAGGTCTCCAAGTGAGTCAGAAAGAGGGTCCCGCCCCGGCTCCCACCCATGGCACGGCCTGGACTCACCAGGAAGTCCTCCTGGCAGTACACCTTCTCGCCCACGTTATAGAAGGCCTTCCCGCGGAGCCGCCTCCCTGCAAGGACCAGGGCATAGAGTGGGTCCCTGTGATGCTGGACTCAGGGATGGAGTCCAGCTGACATCTCTCAGATGAGATGGTGGATTATGGATGCATGTTTAAATTTCCCTTTAATGTTTTGTTATTATTCTAATAATAAAGACTTCCCCCAAATTAGAATACATCGCCAACAGAACTCTGGCAAGAGGCTGTCAATGCAAATATACGACTATTTTGTGCTGGCTGTAATTCCAACACGCAGAGTCTGAGGGCAGGAGGATCCCAAGTTCAAGCCTAGCTTGTACAACTCAGCCACTTAGAAAAAAACCTCAAAATAAACAATGAAGAAAAAAAGAAACTGGACATATGGTTCAGTGCAAAGATCTAGGTTCAATCCCCAATAGTGGAACCAAAAAAAAAAAAAAAGCTAGAAAGGAAAAAAACTATCTTTAATCACAGATGACACGGTTGTGTCTCATAAGCAATTTATAAGAAACCACTAGGAAAAAAAAGAAAAAAAGAAACCACTAGGATAAACAAGTTTAGCAAGACTGTAAAGAGAAGGCCACTGTAAAAAACAAATGTATTTTTATATACTAACAACAAATGATTGGAAAATAAGCTCAGAATTTTAAAATTACATTTATAATGGCATCAAAACATACAGCAGAAAAAAATTCTAAAGGATTAACTTAGAAGTTTAAATATCTCATGTTTTTTGTTATATGAGACCCAAAATATAATAATGTAATAAGCAAAATAAAAGATAGTAAGAAACAGGGAGATAAATCTTTTCCAAGTGGGAAGAAAACCAAGAAATGGAGGAAGGAGGGAGGGAGAAGTAGGAGAAGTAAAAAGAATTAAGCCGGGCGTGGTGGCGTCTGCCTGTAATCCCAGCACTCGGGAGGCTGAGGCACGAGGATCATTGTCAGCCTGGGCTACAAAGTGAGCTCAAGGCCAGCCTGAACTGCATAGCGAGACCCTGTCTCAAAAAGACAAAAAAAAAAAAGA